TTAAATCGTACTTACTATTTAATGAGTTTTCATTTACTACTTCATTAGACTTTACTTACTACTAAATAATCTTCCATTTAATATTTCATTACACTTCACTTACTACTAAATTAAACCTTATTTTCTATTATAATGTGACTCTACTTACTACTCATTGATACTTTATTTACTTAGTGGTAAATTGGTAAGGGATAAGTTGAGTCGCAAAATGTTGTAAGAATAACTTAGTAAATCATCAACTCAATGATTGGTCAACAATAAATAGAAATATGAATTTTAAATAAAATGTGAAAATTTAAAAATTTATTAGACTTGACTTAGTATTTAGTAAGACACCATTTAATTTGACTTGATTTACTACTCAATTAAATCTCACTTACAACATAATGATTGGGTAATTTACTACTCATTTAAATCTCACTTATTACTTAATGGGACTCCACTTACTATGTTATTAGATTTTGCTTACTACTAAAGTAAACACCACTTACTACTTAACGAAACTTTACTTACTACTCCATCAAACTTAACTTACTACTCCATCAAACTTAACTTACTGATTCATTAGATTTTACTTATCACTCAATTAAACTCGATTTACTACTTAATGAAACTCCACTTACTATTCAATGATTTTTTTTCTTTGATTAGATGAAATGTTGTTCCAACAAAACCTTAAAATTTATAAATTAAAAAATATCACATAAGTTAAAATAAAATATAGATAGAGACATAGATAGATTCTTACATGGAGACTTCGTTGAATTTTTAAAAATTATATCAACTTCTTTCACTTATCTTTTGTTGAAAAATTATAGAGAAAATCATTATTGTCTATAGTGTATGCAAATGAATTGTGAGGTCTCCTATGTATTTTTTTAATTAACTAATTTCGATGTATTTAATTATTGTCATTAATAAATGTTGATCATGCTGTGGTAAGTAAAGGAAAGTATTTTTTTAGTAAATGTGTTCATTTATTGCCAATATTGAATGTTGATAAATAAGAGATTCCTAAATATATTTATAAATGAGAGATCTTCCTACCGATCTTCCTAGGTAGATCTTCCTGCAGATCTTCCATTTATGTTTCAAAATATTGTAGAAATTAAATTTGTAAAAAAATATTCATATCCAATCAAATGAATTTGTGGAGAAAAAAAATTCATTTCACTGTAGATTTTAGATTCATAAAAAATTATGTATTTTTCAAAATTCCTAAAAGGTTGGTATATAAAATTCATATAAAAAAATTTATTTTTATAAAATAATTAATAAAATGATGTGAATTTTAAATTTTAAAAAAAAAAATTTAACTCACTTTATTACATTTATTTTGATGTTTATAAAATTTGATTATAAATTTATTCCCAACTTTCTTAAATAAAATAACACCACACATTTTATCTCTTACACTTTATCTTGTGTCTTAAAAAGTAAAAAAAAAAAAAATTAAAAAAATAAATAAAATGTGGAGTTTTTGTGTCAAAAAATAATTAAAAAATTTATACAAAATGTATAGTGGAAGTAGCCAATATAGTATTTTATTAGTTTAGCACAAATTTTAAGTATTACCTGTTATCTTTTCAACCCCTAATATTTTGAAGATGTCATTTTCAATAATAAGTATAAGTTTATATAATAGTAAGTTCACTCATAGTAAATAGTAAGTGTAACATGTAGCAATAGTAAATTAATTTTATAAATATTTTATTAAAAAAACTCAAAACTACCTTATTTGTAGGAATCTATCTTGGTTTTCCAATTAAATAATAATTATTTACTCATCAATGGTCATGATTACTACCTTCTTTATTAACCTCTTTAGCCACCACTCTACAGAAACCATTGGAACAATTTGATTTTCTGTAAAGTTGATGAGGAGGCCAATGAACCTTTCTCGTCCTGTTACTAATGAGGAAATTTGGAAGGCTGTGAAGATCATTAGTGCCTTTAAAGCTTCAGGTAGAGATGGTTTCTAAGCAATTTTCTATCATACCTACTGGCCCATTATTGGCTCTGTTGTGTGTGAATTTGTTAAAAATTGTTTTTTCAACAACCATATACCTCCTGAGATCAATAGAACTCTTGTTGCTTTAGATACCTACTGGCCCATTATTGGCTCTGTTGTGTGTGAATTTGCTAAAAATTGTTTTTTCAACAATCAAATACCTCTTGGGATCAATAGAACTCTGGTTGCTTTAATTCCTAAAGTTGAGAATCCTAAGACCATTCAGCTCTTTAGACCTATTAGCCTGTGTAGTGTCACTTACAAAATCATTTCTAAAATTTTTGTTAACCGATTACGCCCCTTTTTAAGTAAGATTGTTCGACCCAATCAATGCAGCTTCATTCTTGGGAGGAATACTAGTGACAATATCATTATTTCTCAAGAAGTGTTACATTCTTTGAACCTCAAAAAAGGGAAGAAAGGGGGCATGATTTTAAAAATTGACCTGGAAAAAGCTTCTGATGAAATTTCTTGGGTTTTTTTAAAACAAACACTTGAGGAGTTTAACTTTGACAAAACTTTTATTGATCATGTTATGAGTTGTGTTACCACTGTGAGCACTGTCATTATTTGGAATGGTGAACCTCTTGAGGAATTTCAACCTCAAAGAGGCTTACGCCAAGGTGACCCCCTATCCCCTTACCTCTTTGTCTTATACATGGAGAGATTGTCTAACATGATAAGCTCCAAAGTAGAGAGCAACAGTTGGAAAGGGATTGAGATTACTAGAGGTGGGCCTAGCCTAACTCATTTGTTTTTTTGCTGATGATCTCATGTTGTTTGGCCAAGCTACCATCAAAAACTGCAACACCATTATGAAGGTCATGCATGAATTCTGTGACATCTCTGGATTAAGGGTTAACTCCCATAAATCCAAATTGTATGTATCCCCTAATGTTGAGAGGAGGTATGCCAAAGAGTTGAGCACCAAGTGTGGTATTCCCCTAACGTCTGAGTTAGGGAAATATCCGGGAGTTCCACTGCTTAATGGCAGAGTTGGCCGAAGGCATTTCAATGAGGTTTTAGAGAAAATGCAAAACAGATTGTCTGGTTGGAAGGTTAATACCTTATCCATGGCAGGTAGAGCTACACTAATCAAATCTGTGAGCTCTGCCATCCCTTCCTATACTATGCAAACTATGCTTATCCCTAAAAGAGTGAGCAATGATATTGACAGGTTGAATAGAAATTTCCTATGGGGTGGCACCCTGGAAAAGAAAAAAATTCACCTGGTCAATTGGGATGCTGTTTGTAACATGAAAAACAAAGGTGGCCTTGCTATCAAGAAGGCCAAAGACCAGAATTTGGCTTTGTTAACCAAGCTAGGTTGGCACCTGCTTAGTAACAAAGAAGGTTTGTGGTGTGATATGCGTAAAGCTAAATATTTGAAAAACACCTCCCTTTATGACTGGAATAAGGGCAGAAGAGCCTCCCATTTATGGAGGGGTATCATGCAAACTAGACACATCCTGAGAAAGGGTGTGAAATGGAACGTTGGTAGTGGGCAACATGTGAATGTGTGGAAAGATTGGTGGTGTGGAAATACGGCCTTTGAAGACCTTGAACCCCACACTAACCAAAACAAGTACAGTACTCATATCTCCCTAATACTGTGAGTGAGCTGTCTAACTCTTATGGTAGCTGGAATGAGAACAAAATTCACAGATTCTTCTCCCCTACTATTGCCTCCTTGATTCTGGATAATCCTCCTCCATCTTCTCTGGAGATGGACAACCCCTTGTGGAAGGGCGCATCTGATTGTTCCTTTAATGTTGCATCTGTGTATAAGCTCATCATTGGCAACCATGAGAATGAGGAGGATGGGAGCTGGATATGGAAAATGAGATTGCCTCAAAAACTGAAAGGTTTTCTTTGGCTTGTGTTCCATGGGAAATTACTTACAAACCAAATGAGACTCAAAAGGGGTTTAACCACTGATCCTACATGCCCTCACTGCTGTGGGATTGAGGATATGTCTCATCTATTTAGGGACTGCTTCAAAGCTAAGGAAGTGTGGTTAGCTATTTTTAATAAACAGTGGTATTTGGATATGATGAGGAAAAATTGGTTGGAATGGCTAGAGAGTAATGCAAAAACTAAACTTACGTTCAATGATAACACTTCTTGGCAATCTATCTTTACTGTTGCTTATGGAAAATTTGGAAGAACAGGAATTCTATGGTTATTGAGCAAAAATCCTTTCAAACCCAAGAAACTGTTAACTTTATTATGAATTACTCTAGAGAAATACACCAAGCTTTTCTTCATTCCATATCTAATCCTAGACCTGCATTTAGACTAATCCATTGGTCTTTGCCACCTGCAGGTCGACTTAAGATGAACACTGATGGCAGTAGAAGAATTGGAGGTGGTGGAGGTTTTGGAGGGCTGATTAGAGATGAAAGAGGCGCTTGGGTGTGTGGCTTCTATGGAAAACTGTAAAGTGGCACCAATCTTGAAGCTGAGCTGTGGGCACTATACAAAGGATTGACTGTCACATTGCAAAAAGGAATGAACCAAGTAATCATCGAGAGTGACGCAGCCCAAGCAGTGCAACTGATGCATGAGGACCCAGGTGGCAAAACACCCTTCAAGGAATTGGTACACGATGCTCAAATTCTTCTCAGAGGCTGTGAGTGCTCTGTGCAACACGTCTGGAAGGAAGGGAATCTATGTGCCGATGCATTGGCAAAAATGGAAGCGAACCAACCAGAAGATATGCTTGTTTTCAAAGAACCACCGGTTGAATTAAGATGTCTGCTTGTTTCAGACATGATAGGAGTGTCTAGGGAGAGGACTTACTTCCTCTTGTCTTTATTTATTTCCGATGTACTCAAAAATAAAAAAATACCCATACTCAAAGAGCTTATCAAGAATATCATCCTCTGCTGGCTCAAGTGCCCAATTAAAAAGCGGAAATGAAGAGGATCGCAAAAATTTCAATGGTTTATCCTCAAAGAAAGGTGTACTAGTCAGGTTATAAGATTACCTCTCTGGGAGTAGCCCGACTTTCAGGGTTGCAGTCGGGACTAATTCCAATTCCTTGCAATCCCAATCGACTAGCTGGGAAGGCACAAACACGAATCTGAAAAGCAACGGAACAACACTAAACAATCAAACACTGCATCAATAAGTAAATTGGATGATCATCCATACATAGAAATAAGGTACCAGTACTACAAAACAAAAATTGAGCAACTACATAAAGAAAAACTATAGGAGTAATCATAAAACACAAGTTTATTTATAGATTTTGGAATCCTAGATTAATTAAAAAATGAGACTATACGGACTATAAACCAATATCAAGGTCTATGGGAAGTAGAGTAAATTCACTTCAAATACGCCTTAGTAACGCACATGTTCAATTTGGAAAGAAGCAACACACTATGAAATTGTAAATTCCGAGGCAGAAAAATCCAAAGAGAGAACAAAAGACAAGCAGCAGCATGGAAGACAAACAGAAAAAAATCACCTTTTAAAATACAGGAAAGAGTAGATTGGGGATTAGCAATAAGATGATTCAAAGGCCTCATGAAACTATGTCAGAATGAAACCATAGATTTCTTACTTTTTATACAGAAACATTCACATAATTCCAATGGGGGATAACACCAAAAAACAAAACAAAATCTTCAAAGAGACCTTCCCCTTAATGTCAGAATTGAAGGCAGGAAGGCCCAAATATAGTAATAGAATTTCATAATCAAAATATTAAAAATTCTTGACAAACTTGTCAAGAGAAGCTAAATGAATACGCTGCTGTTAAGTGAGTCTATGCAGCATTCATGCATTAACAACTTCAGATACCATTAACGGGTTTCTCTCTCCAGTGATAGTTATGATAGTTATATATTTGTGATTCCACATCAGCTAACAAAACTATGCAATGCATGGTTATTTAAATTCTGTTTTCACCGAAAGAATCATTACCGTCTGAGTAGCAGACGTGGGTGGCATAAACAATGTCAAACCCCCATCAATGCAAAGTCGATTCCTGAACATTGTTGCTGGTCTTGGTGCAAGATATCTGCACTGAATTACTTCTAGTTCAACTTCATTGCATAAACTACAACACGCAACTTTTAAAAAAAATATATTGCAAACTGAAAAGAAATATATTGCAAACTAAAGTTGTTCACAATCACAACTTGAATGAAACCATGTTTCAGTTCCACGACTTCATTAAAGTCGTGATTTAGGCCTCATTTGGAAACGGGCTTTTTTAGTAATTTTTTGACTTTTTGACTAAAATATGATGTAAAAAAAACTAGTATGTTTGAGATGACTTTTTGGTTTTTTATGAAAAGATGTGCAAAAAGTAGAGAGGAAAAAAAAATCTGACTTTTTGGTATATGTTGTTGGCTTTTTGGTTTTTTTAGTGACTTTTTGGCTAAAATCACCACTTGCCAAACGAGGCCTGAGAGCAGAGAGCGAGCGAGAGCAGAGAGCAGAGAGCAGAGAGCGAAAAACCTAAGTCTGAAAATCTGAAAAACGTATGCAAATGAGGGGGGGTCGGTTCGTGTATATGAGGACTTTAAAAACGCTGATCTAAAAAGCGTTTTCATTTAACTGAAATCGCTATTATAAATAGCGTTTCCTTGGCAATAAAATTTGAACTGCAATCGCTATTAAAAATAGCGTTTTTTCTGGAAAATTTTGTAAAAAGCGCTGTTAAGAAAAGCGTTTTTATCCGGACAAAAACTAACGCTAGAAGCGCTATTTGTAATAGCGACTTCTTAATCAAAGTCGCTATTTGTAATAGCGATTTTCCTGTTCATCTACTTTTGCGCTCCTAACAGTAAAAGCGCGAATAGTAATGGCGCTTTAACTTAGTTTTGGAATTCCGTCAGAAGTTGGCCTAGTTTTGGAAATACAATGGAAAAATGGCTTATATTGGGAAAAGCCTCCACTTTAGGCCCCTATTATCAACCTTTTTACTTCCATCATGAAGAAGTGAGTACATATATTATATATAACAGAATCACTTTCCAATGCTTATTTTTTCTCTCTTAAAATCAACTTCACTGGCATGGCAGGAAGGCAAATGTTAGGGTGTTCATACATAGCCCTTCAGTTTTCTCTCTTTCTAAGCTCTCAATTTCAAATATCCAGTTCTCTCTCTGGGACTTGGATTGTCTAGCATAGATGACAATCAGGTGGTACAGCATGTGAAGATAGGTGTTATATGTAGCTTTTATATAGTGTGAGAAAGAAGAGGGGTGTGCAGGTTTGTATGGAGGAAGGAGTGTGAGGAAACAACAATATCAAACATCAGATTTGGTCCATATGGTACGGATTGAAGTAGTTGGCACCTTTATGCTAGGCAATGTTTTGACCATAGAAATCAATATACGATTTCACTTTCTGTTATTTTTAAATATTTTCAAAACGCAGTTTTACATTAAAATCATGCATTGGAAACACGACTTCAAAAACAACTTGAATTTGGTAAATAAGTTGAAAAAGACTTGGACTTGAGAAATAAATTTTAAAAGATGTGGGTTTGGTAATATATATACACATAAATCCAGGTATGAAGTACTTGAAATACAGAAATTTGTACCCCGGAATAAAGGATGAAGTAAAGACTGCATTGATGAGGTCTTCTTTAGAGTCAAATTGATCAACCAACAAGCCTCTAGGCCTCCAAAGGATCTGTGTTACAGCAACTGTGAGGAAACAACAATATCAAACAATTGAGGGGCTGCATACAAAAACACATTCAAATAAATTGTTCAAAGTGGCAGGGTGCATCTTATGTTCAATACTCCATACCACACACAAATACACATAAACTTCTTATGCTACATGCTAAGTTTGAATCAATGTAGAACCTATTAAAGTCCTCTAAAATCCTGATCAACATCGTATAATTGAAAGTAGCATTATCAGCAAAACATAAAACAATGAGCAACAGAAAAAATCATATTTTCTTCAACATATAAACACTTATAAGTCTCTGAGTTACTGACATAATCCTCAAAGGACTAGCCAAGCAAACTTTAACCAAGAAAATTTCCACGGTTATCGCACGCTCAAGAATCACCCAAATCTTACCCAAGGAAATTTTAGACCACATCAAATATAAAATCAAGGCTTAATTTGACTAGCGAAATGGCCTTTGATAATGCCGCATGGAGAAGAAGGATTCATGTAGCCGACCCCATTTGATGGGACTTAAGGCTTGGTTTGGTTTGGTTTGGTTATCAAATATAAAATCTTCAATTCTAATTTTATTTATATAATCGAGCAATCAACAAGATTACAATAACAGCAGCGAATGACAAGGTCAAAAGTCTCAACAACATAACTGACTGTACAAACCCCTAAAAAAAACTGTAAATAAGTAATTATTGCAAAAGGCCTTGCTTACAATTTCTATTCATTCCCAATATGATACGGTGAAGACCAGAAACGAAGATCAGTGCCAGTCTACAAATAATTTCAAACCCACAAGTCGTGTGACTAGCATTTATATGGTCATAAGGAGGGTGTGTAGAAGGTTGCATGAGGTCATTCATGAGACTACCCCTGCTTCTCAAGTGGCTTCAGAAGGCAGACAAATTTTCGGTACACTTTTAAGGAGTGCAAGTTACTTGATTATATCTTCTTAAAGAAAGGCTTTGAGAGAAATTAAAGTTTTAAAATAAAACTTCATTACTATAATCAATGGCAAAGCAGTAAGTTGATTCAAAAAGGGGACTTGGACAAGGGAACCCCTGCCCCTGTTTTCTTCAGTGCTAATTTGCTAAATGGACTAATTGCATCTGATGAAATTTGGACATCATTAGTCCATGGAATTGGAAAGGAAAAAGGTCACTCGGATTCAATTTTCCAATTCTACCATGTTTTCTTCTCCTCAAAAGTAATGTAAAGTTCTTAATTTTAATCTCAGTCTTTGGCTGCTCAATGTTGTCCCCAAACCTAAGATAAACATTGATAAGCAATGTTAAATGGACTCGATTACAGGTGACCCGTCAGACCCATCAAACCTCAAATTTAACAGTATGGGAACTCAACAAAAAAGAAAAAAGAAAAAATAATTCATATTTTTATTCTATTATGTGAGATAAAATAGTATTATATTTAATGTGCAAAACAATAATTTCACTTATTTTATGACAATTATACAGCCATATATATATATATATATATATACATATGATGGTGGTGTTGAATACAAATATATAAGAATTTCATCGTATTTGTCTTATTTTTAAGAGTCTATGTAACATAGTTGATAAGAACTCCACTCTGTGAGCATCAATTTCAAAAGTTCATATAGTGGCAGGTTCTGTGAAGCTTAGATAATACAAAATAACCCATCACCACATATATACACACAATCCTAACTTTATAAACGAAACAACTGACAAAGAAACCAAGAATTCAAAAAATTCCAACCTTTATGTAACCCTTCTCGATAAGAAATTGAGCAACACCAAGATGGTACGGAAACAGAAGCCCAGCAGCAGAGAAGCTAAACCCAGGGCTCGTCACCGCCTTCCGACACCTCTCCGCCTCCACATCCTTCAACCTCTGCTCCCAAACCACCTCCGGCTGCACCGGGTCCTCCACCACCGACGCAATCCCCTCCTTCGTCCTCCTCCAAAAATACGACCCTCTCTCCGAATCCCTAAACATCGTAATCGGGACCGAATTCGAGTCCCCACCGTCAATCCCATTCCTTCTCTTTATAATTCGCGCTGCAATTCCTAGGAAGAGCTCGCCGGTGGCCACCGCGAACGATTTCTTCTCCGGCGGCGGAGGAGGTGGCGGTGGAGATTTGGGAGGAGTTTGAGGAGAAAGTTAGGGTTTGGGTTCTCAGAGGGAGGTGAATTTGACGGTTACGGTTAGGGTTAGGGTTTGGAAGGCAGGCAGAGCGAGGGTTGGAGAGGAAGAGAGAAGATAGTGACGCAATTGGAGAGGCGGAAGAGGTGGCTTGGTCTTGTGGGTTGTCCGAAGGCATATTGTGTACCGTTTCATTTTGTATTTTGCATTCAGATTTTGATTTTCATATTGTATATATTATATTCTGTTCCATTCTAGATCATATGAATTACAATTGAGTTTGGTTTTTTTTCAGTCAGAGTCGAGAGAGTATTCAGGCTTAATAGATATTTTGGAATCAATTATATTCTGATCCATTCTAGATCATATGAATTACAATTGAGTTCGGTTATTTTTCAGTCAGAGTCGAGAGAGTATTCAGGCTTAATAGATATTTTGGAATCAATTTAATGATTTGAATTGGTAATTAATTTAATGATTTGAATTGGTAGTTAAAATATGTATTTAAAAAATTAAGTTAATTAAATATTTGTAACATTTGAATTATATTATTTTAAAAAAAACATACGATTAATATAATTTTAAAAATAATTACTTAATTTTTGTAATATAAATTTAATTTTAAAATATAATTATTAATGTCTAATTATCTTAATTTTTTATATAAATATTCTATTCAATAAACTTTAAAAAATAAACTATTCAAAACTCCTAAATCTTTTAAATTCTCTCCTATTAAGGGGTTGTTTGGTATAACCTAAATAAGTGCACTTTTTGTCTTTTTATGAAAAGATGTGCAGAAAAGTAGAGAGGTGATGTGATGAAAAAAAGATAAAAAGATAAAAAATGTGTACTTATCCCATTATAACATGAAAAATGTTATGAATTTCAAATAAATTATTAAATATTTTATCAAATCTCTTACATGGGTGTGGGACCTACACAAAATACATGTGTATAAGTCTCACACCCATGTGAAGTTTGGTAGAATACCTATGTGAGAAGTTTGGTAGAATATTTAGTAATTTATTTGGGATCTCTAGCATAACTCCTATAATATAAGTATACTAGTGTATGTCTGTGCTTGAAGACACGATGTAAATAAAATAAGGAAAAATACTTGGTGGTCCAAATTTGTGTCGCTTGAATGACTTGAATGTGTCAAAGCGACGTTGTTTTACACTCAAAACATCATTTTGAATGATTCAAGTCATGATTTTCGGACCACCTAACATTATTGTAAAATAAGTGAGCAAAAAGGGAGAAAAATAAAAAATAAAATAAAGAAATAGGGAGGGAAATAGAAAGGAGAGAAAATAAAAAGGAAAGAGGAAGAAGGTGGATAGGAGAAAGAGAGTGCATAAGTCAACAAAAAAGGAAAAAAAGAAGATTGGGTGAGTGAGAATTAAAAAAATCTTGACTGTAGGACAAATTTAGAAATTAATCTCAGCCCTTGAAATAAAATATGTTTTTAAGATATTTTGACTTATTTTCAAAAACTTCCTACTTTATTATATATATTTGTATTATTTGTGAGTTGATATGATTTTGTCGGCAGGAAGGAGAGAGACAGAGAGAGAGAGTGTGTGTGTTTGGTGGGGGTGACCCCCTCCAAACTTCACAACAAATATTATTTGGCCAATCCTATTTTAAGTATTTATATTTTTAAAAAAATAGCATTTTGGCCTATTCAAAATTTATATAGTTTTATTTTGTTCCTTGAAAATCTATATTTTAATCGGGTAAATTGCACTAACAGTTCTTATAGTTTACAACTTGTATCACTTTGGTTCATGATCTTTCAATTGTGATATATTTGACTCTAAATTTTGAATCTCGTTCTAAAAAAGGACAATTAAAGACATTATTACTATATTTGAAGGATAAAGTCGTCATACAATTTACTTTGTTTTAGTTAACTTATATGTTATTTGAAATATATTTTTTTTTAATGAATAAGGTTAAACTTTTTTTAGTTATAAAGTTATGTTTGGTTTGGTTTCAAATCTATTTTCAATTTTTTTTTAAGAAATTAAAAATTAAATTGGTGAAAAAAATTAAAAATACATCATTTTTATATAATTTTATTTTTGGGGAAGTTGAAATATTTTTTTAAATTAATTTTTTTGATATTTATTTTCTTTAAACTAGTTTTTATTTTTTTCAAAAGTCAAACATGACAACAACTTTGATGTCATTATTAAACCAATCCATTAACTCAAAAAATTTAAAACTTAAAATATTTTATATATTAAATTTATCGATTATACATTAAAAACGTAATAATCATCCAAATACAACAATCTATTACATGATAACCATCCAAAAATATCAACAAAAACAATCACCCATTACATGATCATCATCCAAACACATACTAAAAATTAATTCGGTAAAAAAAATAAAAATATAAAAGATTTATCATTTTTATATAATTTTATCTTTAGTGAGTAGAAATAATTTTAAAATAAATTTTTGATATTCATTTTTGTTAAATTAGTTTATATTTTGTCATATTGATGACTTTACTATTGAAATAGAGCAACCATGTCTTTAATTGTCTTTATTTGCAACGAGATTCAAAAAATCAGGAGTAAAAAATGTATCGTAATTGAAAGGTTAGGGATCAAAATGACTTAAACCCTAAACTACAGGAACTATTAGTGTAATTCGCCCATTTCAATTGGATTCCTCCAAAATTTATATAATTTTATCCTGACATCCTAAACTTCACATAAATCTAATTCAGCAGGTCTTATCAACAAAAAAGATTAGTTATTGGATGTAATGTTGTATCTCCGTAAATATAAACTTTTCACCAATAAATCCTTTTAAACGGCAACATTTCAAATAAATGCTATGGAAGGGTAAAATATTGGCTCAAACCCGAAGCTATTAGGCAAAGTAGACCAAAAGAAAGGGAAGGCCCAAGTAAATTTCTAAACAAGTCATTAGAGACAGTTGGCAGCACAAAGATGCGTGGCAAGGAGCGTAAGGAGCTATGAAGAGTAAAAGATCTCCTTCTAAAAAGAGATCTACAGAATGAAAGAGGAACGACGGATTTATCTTCATCCAACGATAGAAACATCGAAACAGTAAGTACAAGAGTATAGATCAGTCCTACTAGACGGTAAGTCTGTCCGATCAACCTGATCCAACAGACGTAACACTTGACAAGCTGGCCACTAACATCTGACATAATCCAAGCTGTCTATAGGAGGATAATCTAACGATCAAAGTCAAAGGCAACTTGACCACTTGTTCGACCAGAGCCAAGAGTGGGCAAAACCCTCAGATCAAATATTTATCCAATGGATGGGATTCAAGTGGGAAAACTATAAAAGGCGAAATAGGTGAAACAAAAAAGAACATACTAGAGGTAATCCAAGAATCCTCCTTTAAATACAAATTCTTAAGGCCGAACAATATTCTGACTTGACCGTCAAAGGGTCGTCGTGACCAATCTTGATCGGGGGTGATCATTGACATTTATCATCTCACTTTCTCTATGGAGAAGAATTCTACCTTCCACAAATGCAAGGAACAAAATTGGTAAGCCAATTTATTTGCAATTTTTCTATTTTAAACATATATTTTATGATTGGAAAGGATGTGAACTCACTTATACAATTTAGGATTAAGAAAAGGGTCCTTCTACGATAATGCTTTCAACTAATCTAATCCATTATTAGGCCATAAAATGAGAAATTTCAATTAATCCAATTTACTAAGCCATAAAATTAAAATTTATGGAGTAATTTTTTTAAAAAAATTTACTGAACCAAAATCCAATGACACTACAACAAATATAATTTTAGAGACAAAAATTTAGCAACAAAATCACTTTTTAATAACAGAATATTTTAGTTTTAAAAAATATCATTTTTTTATAAAAAAAATTAGTGACAAGATTGGACATATAAGTAATGAATTCTGATCCATTTGGGACAAAATTTCAAACACTTTTCCCAATACAACCATTCAAAAAAAATTCAACCCATCTGATCAAACATACAAACTAAAATAGTCTATTAAAATAGTCAAATAATAAAAAAAAAACTAAAAAAATAGCTACTTTCCAAACAAGGCCATTATAGTGTAAAGAGATTAATGCTGGTTAATGTCACTCACATTTAGTAACTATCACATCCAATAATAATAACATAACAAAATTTTGACCAAAAATATTAAATGATATTTGTTCATTCATTAAAGTGCCTCTAATCATCAGATCATGTATATGATTAAATATGAAATTACAAAAAGCACTAAAGCTAGTGAAGAGTATTACACAAGAGGCATGCACTATCAAGCTTAAATGACTAAACCAGCTATGAACAGAGAGCTTAATCATGCCCAAACAATGGCCTAAACATGCTGGAATGGAAGCTCAAAAGACTAGACAAACATGCATACATGTTGGCTCACGAACGAGACATAAGGCACAACTCTCAAAAGTAATGAAAGAGTGAAACATGTGAGAGTGTGACAAAGTTATATGCTCTGAAATTACATACAAAATGATGCTATGACATGCAAACAACCCAAACAAAGCATGCTAGAAGCCTCAAAACACAAAGCTAGTCAAGGCTATTTACACTATAGCTATACAAAGCGGAGCACATGTGACCAAAACCACTTGAAACAGAGTTAAAGCATGCTAAAGCAAGGCCAAAAACATGTTGGAGTGGAGCCAACACATGCTAGAATAATAGGCTAAACCATCAAGCACTCTAGGCTAGTGAGCAAGATTGCACTATAAGTGCAAAAAGCAAATAACAAGTGACTAAACCAACCAAAAACAGAGTTTAAACATGTTAAAATATAGCCAAAAACATGCTTGAACTAAGTTAACATAAGCCATAAAAATATGCTACTTTGTAATGCTAACGAGGCATGGCATAGAGAGACAAGGAAGGGAGGCCACCCCCTCCCATTTTGGGCCTCAAAACAAGCTTTCCACCACTGAAATTGCTTTGAAATTTTGTGGTTAAAAATAAGCAATGAAAGAGGGTGGACCAACCCTAACTCCAACAAGGACTCAAACCAACATTTTCAACACTTAAAAATAGAGGTTTTTATAGTGGGCAACTAGGCCAAAACAACATGCAAAGGTGGTCCAAACTAGTGTACAAAACCAAGCTTAATAAGAGTAAATGCTTACCCTTGAAGCACATTAGTTGTTTAGCGATAATTCTGGACCAAAATCAAGCAAATTCCAACCTTTATGTAACCCTTCTCGATAAGAAATTGAGCAACACCAAGATGGTATGGAAACAGAAGCCCAGCAGCAGAGAAGCTAAACCCAGGGCTCGTCACCGCCTTCCGACACCTCTCCGCCTCCACATCCTTCAACCTCT